AGCTTAATTTCATGTCTTTGCTATTGTGAATAGTGTTGCAATGAAGATATGAGCGCATGTGTCTTTTTGGTAGAACGATTTATTTTCCTTTGCGTATACATATCCAGTAATGGAATTGCTGGGTCAAATAGTAGTTCTATTTGAACTTCTTTGAGAAATCTCCAAACTGCTTTCCACCATGGCTGAACTAATGTACAGTCCCACAAATAGCATATAAGCATTCTCTTTTCTCTGCAGCCTTGCCAACATCTGTTGTTTTTTGAATTTTTAATAGTAGCCATTCTGACTGGTGTGAGATGGTCTCTCACTGTGATTTTGATTTGCATTTCTCTGGTGATTACTGATGTGGAGCATTTTGTCATATAATTGTTGGCTGCTTTTATGTCTTCTTTTGACAAGTATCTGTTCACGTCCTTTACCCACTTTTTTTTTTCTTTAAGTTCAGGGGTACAGGGACAGTTTTTTTTTTTTTTAAATAGGTAAACTTGTGTCATGGGGGTTTTGTCACCCAGGTATTAAGCCCAGTATCCATTAGTTATTTTTCCTGATCCTCTCCCTCCTCTCACCCTTCACCTTCAAATATGCCCAAGTATCTTTTGTTTCCCTCTATGTTCATAATTTAGCTCCCACTTATAAGCGACAACATGTGGTATTTGGTTCTCTGTTCCTGTATTAGCTTGCTAAGGATAATGGCCTCTGGCTCCATCCATGTTCCTGCAAAGGACATGATCTTGTTCTTTTTTATGGCTGCATAGTTTTCCATGGTATATAGGTATCACATTTTCTTTAGCCAGTCTATGATTGATGGGCATTTAGGTTGATTCCATGTCTTTGCTAGTATGTGTGCATGTGTCTCTACGATAGAACAATTTCTATTTCAGTAATAAAATTGCTGAGCTGAATGGTAGTTCTGTTTTTAGGTCTTTGAGGATCAGCCACCACCAACAGTGTATAAGCATTCCTTTTTCCCCCACAACCTTGCCAACATCTGTTATTTTTAAATTTAATAATATACTGGTGTGAGTGGTATTTCATTGTGGTTTTGATTTGCATTTCTCTATGATCAGCAATGTTGAGCTTTTTCATGATTGTTGGCTGCATGTATATCTTTTGAAATGCATCTTTTCATGTCCTTTGCCCGCTTTGTAATGGGTTTTGTTTTTTCTTATAAATTTCTTTAAGTTTCTTATAGATCTTGGATATTAGACATTTTTCAGATGCATAGTTTGCAAATAACCCCTCCCATCCTCTAGATTGTTTGTTCACCCTGTTGATAGTTTCTTTTGCTGTGCAGAAGCTCTTTAGTTTAATTAGATCCTATTTGTCAATTTTTGCTTTTGTTGCAATTGCTTTTGGTATCTTCTTCGTGAAATTTTTGCCCATTTCTATGTCCAGAATGGTACTACCTAGGTTGTCTTCCAGGGTTTTTATAGTTTGGGGTTTTACATTTAAGTCTTTAATCCATCTTATTTTTTTTTTATGTGGTATAAGGAAGGGGTCCAATTTTAATCTTCTGCATATGGCTAGCCAGTTATCCCAGCACCATTTATTGAATAGGTAGTCCTTTCCCCATTGCTTGTTTTTGTCAGCTTTTTCAGAGATCAGATAGTTGCAGGTGCATAGCCTTATTTCTGAGTTCTCTATTCTGTTCTATTGGTCTATGTGTATGTTTTTTTACTAGTACCATGCTGTTTTGCTTACTGCATTCCTGTTTGATGTCAGTTTGAAGTTAGTGTGATGCCTCCAGGTTTGTTCTATTTGCTTAGGACTGCCTTGGCTATTAAGGCTCCTTTTTGGTTCCATATGAATTAAAAAAATTTTTTTTCAGTTCTGTGGTGAATGTCATTGGTAGTTTAATAAGAATAGTATTGAATTTATAAATTGCTCTGGGCAGCATGGCCATTTTAATGATACTGTTTCTTCCTATACATGAGTATGGAATATTTTTCCATTTGTTTGTGTCATCTCTGACTTCTTTGAGGACTGTTTTGTAGTTCTCCTTATAGACATCTTTCAATTAACTCCCTGGTTAACTGTGTTCCTAGGTATTTTATTTGTGTGTGTGTGGCACTTGTAAATGGGATTGCATTCCTGATTTGGCTTTCAGCATGGCTACTGGTGGTGTGAAGATATACTAGTGATTTTTGTACATTGATTTTTGCATCCTGAGACTTTGCTGAAGTTGTTTATCAGCTTAAGAAGCTTTTGGGCTGAGACCATGGGGTTTTCTAGATATAGGAGCATGTCATCTGCAAATAGTTTGATGTTCTCTTTTTCTATTTGGATGTGCTTTATTCCTTTTTCTTGCATGATTGTTCTGGCCAGGACTTCCAATACTATGTTGAATAGGAGTGGTGAAAGAGGATGTCCTTGTCTTGTACAGTTTTTGATGGTAATGTTTCCAGCTTTTGTCCACTCAGTATGATGTTGTCTGTGGGTTTGCCATTGATGGGTCTTACTATTTTGAGGTATCCTATTCAATACCTAGATTATTGGGAGTTTGTAACATGAAGGGTGTTGAATTTTATCAAAAGCCTTTTCTGCATCTATTGGTTTTTATCTTTAGTTCTGTTTATATGATAAATCACATTTATTGATTCGCATATGTTCAACCAACCCTGTATCCCAGGAATAAAGCCTACTTGATTGTGGTGGATAAGTTCCTGCATTTGTTTTGCTAGTATTTTGTTGAGGATTTTTGCATCAGTGTTCAAGGATATTGGCCTGGAGTTGGGTTTTTAAAAAATCTTTATTTATTTTTTATGTTGTGTCTCTGCCAGATTTGGTATCAGGATGATGCTGGCCTTATAGAATTAGTTAGGAAGGAGTGCATCCCCCTTAATTTTTTGGAATAGTTTCATCAGAAATGGTACCAGCTCTTCTTTGTACATCTGGTAGAATTCAGCTGTGAATCTACATGTATGTGCACAAGAATTTATTAATTTATTCTAGATTTTCTAGTTTATGTGTATAGAGGTGTTCATAATCTCTTTTGATGATTGTGTTTCTGTGTAATCAATAGCAACATCCCCTTGTCGTTTCTGATTGTGTTTATTTGAATCTTCTCTGTTATCTTCTTTATTAGTCTAGCTAGCAGTCTAGCTAGCTCCTGGATTTGTTGATCTTTTAAAATTTTTTCATGTCTTAATCTCCTTCATTTCAGCTCTGATTTTGGTTATTTCTTGTCTCTACTAGCTTTGAAGTTGTTTTTTTCTTGGTTCTTTAGTTCTTTTTGTTGTATTATTAGGTTGTTAATTGAGATCTTTCTAACTTTTTGATTTGCACTTTTTAATAGTGTTATTTGTTTCTTGCTTGTTAAATTGCTTAAATTTCTTATAGATTCTGGATATTAGGCCTTTGTTGGGTACGTCGTTTGCAAAAATTTTCTCCCATTCTGTAGGTTGTCGGTTTACTCTGTTGATAGTTTCTTTTGCTGTCTAGAAGCTCTCTAGTTCAATTAGGTCTCACTTGTCAATTTTTGGTTTTGTCATAATTGCTTTTAAGGACTTAGCCATAAATTTCTTGCCAAGGCTGATGTCAAGAAGGGTATTTCCTAGGCTTTCTTTGAGGACTTTTATTGTTTGAGGTCTTACATTTAAGCCTTTAATCCATCTTGAGGTAATTTTTGTATATGGTGATAGTTGTCCAGTTTTATCTGCATATAGATAGCCAGTTTTCCTAGCACCTCTTATTGAATGGGGAGTCCTTCCCCCATTGCTTATTTTTGTTGAATTTGTCAAAAATCAGATGGTTCTAGGTGTGCAGCTTTACTTCTGGGTTCTTTGTTCTATTCCACTAAAAAACCATCTATTTTACTGCAAACATGGCAACTTAGTTTGGCACTGCTCTGGGGCCTCTCTACCAAGGTGTAACACTAAGGAGAAAAGTAGTGTTCTTTCCCATCCTGCCACAGCCTGCCATACTAAATTACTGGGCTAAGGACTTGGTAGTTCCTGAAGCTTCAGGTGGCTCAGCACAAAGGCTGCCAACACTGGCAGGGCAGCACAGAGTTCCCAGGAGTGGAGTCCATTCCTGGGACCTGCATGGCAGTGGCCTTAGGGTCTGCTGGGCTCAGCATGGTGAAAGAGAACAGCACCCCAACATGTTATGCCAGGAAGTATGGACAGAATAGCAGCATGGGCTTAGGGATTGGTCTGGATACCTTGGGAAGAGAGCACACATAGGACACCATTGGGGATCCTAAGAATTATTTGAACTTTGAGCACTTTATAGAGGGTTGACGATCAACCTTATCATGTGGTGGGTTATGTCAGTAAACTGTGGACTGAGATACTCATGGACTACATGCATCTTTATTAATGAGAATTGGGGACATTTGGGTACATATTAATTAATAACATATATTGTTCCTTGACCCCAAATTCAAAAAACATGTCTTTTGATTGATCTGAAACAAAGAAAATAAAAGAAGACAAGGAGAATATTTTGCATGAACTAATTTGAGCACCTCTTTCATTAAAATGTTATAACAATTAACAGAGGTGTGCTACTTGACTTTTTATGTTTGTTATCATTCCCAAATCACATTCACATTTAAGAAGTTATTGCATATTTTCTGAAGTATTTTATCTAACAAAAGACATTTCTTGCTTTTGGAACCAAGTGAAGAGAGGTTTTTCATCTCCAACTGAGTGACGTTTTTCACTCAATACATAGAGATAAGCTCTCCACAGTTGGTAGTTGAACAGGTGACCAGAAGCATAGAAAATACAGTTCTTCAAATTGAGAAAGACAGATTTGGAAAGAAAGTTTAAAATTCTTTTAATGAGTCTAAGTAATTCATCCGCCTTGGGAAGGGACACAGACTCAGCCAGATTAAGTAACCTTTTGCATGTTTACAAGTCAACTAACAGCAAAGCAGAGAAATTAACTTGCTTCTAATACTCTAGGTCTTGCTTCCCATTAACTATAAATGCTTCATGAAAATACTTTTAAATGCCTCCTAAAACATGCTCCCAAGCTCAACCTTTGCACCATACCTTGGAGTATGCTCTTTACTATAACTTCTGTGTGATCAGCCAGAAGATCTGCCTTGGTAATTGCGGCCAGAGACAGGTAGTTAGACATATTCCTGCACAGTTCTTTGTTGCCTCTGTGGAGGAATTTCACTGCAATGGGGATGGCTAATGCCATCACGGAGGGTCTGTTGTAATTCTGAGGAAATATAAGAAAGCCATAAATAATCAACAACTCATTGTTCATTTATTTATTCATTCATTCATTCATTCAAAAAATATTTATTGGATTAAGCTCCCAGAGCACAGCTATGAAAACACAGGCCCTGCCCTGTTTATATTGTATTTGGGAACTCTGGGAACTTTTGATTTTGTTTAAGAGACCTAAACACAAACAGGCAGTTAACAGCAGCAACTGATGACAGCCAAAATGGGCAAAAGGCAGGGTACTAAAATAGCAGAGAAGGAGCACTCAATCTAGTCTTCAGGAATGTCAAGAAAGACTTCCTGGAGGAGGTAATGTCTTAGTTGGGACCTCATGGATGAACAAGATATGGCTGAGTGCTGGCAAGGCAGGGAGTAGGCAGAAAGAAGGAAGAGCAGGTGTGCAGAGACCGAGGTGGGGGAGCACCTGATGGCACTGGGGAGTTGTCAGTAGCTCAGGATGGCTGGAGTGTGGTATGTGTGAGGAAGCTAGAGTGGGAGGTGAGGCGAGAGACGGGACAGGTAAACATAAACAGAACATGATTATGAAAGGTCCAGCATACGGCATACCAGGCTAAGGAGTTTGGAATTGATCTTTACGGTAATTAGGGGTCACTGGTGAAAGGAATCACTTGTCATATTTACACTTGAGATAAACACCTAAGAAATGTTGAACAAGTCACTTTTCGACTATATCTATCTTCAAAACTAAGGTTTCAACTAATTAGATTCAGAGGGAAAAAATAAATGAATGTAAGATTAAAATCTAAAGATATTCTGGATCCTAAAAGAATTCTCCTCTTGGTATGACTGAATATAAATGGACTTACATATAAAATAGTCTTATTAGCATTTAATTACCTAATTAGGGAATAATATTTAGAAAATATAAATTGTTTTCCTTTTTTTCTCACCACATAACATTTTGGTCAACAAATTGTTTTCTTAAAAATGAATGGTACATATTCACTACCCCTGGCTGTCAACCACACCTCTCAGACTAACTGTAGGAAAAAAAACTGTGCAGTGCACAGTGTGTTTGGGAGTAGAGTTCATATTATATTATAAATAAAAAGTGTTTTTTTTTTTCTCAAACTGTTCATGTGAAAAGTGCTTATCTTTCCACTTATGGATTATGCCCTCTAGCACCTCCTACAATTATGGGCTTATGGTGAGTACTCAATATCTTCAAATTGAGTGACTAACAAAGAAAATGTAAATCTATTGTGATAGTTGCCACTGGGAAAATAATGTGGTGGGCAGGGCATCTGATGGAACAAGAAAACTGTGTATTCTAATTTCAGCTCTGCTACCATCTTTCAGGGTGATCATGAAGGTGTCATCCAGCTCTCTAGGTCTTACTCATAAGAGTGATTATCATAATCTCTTCCAATCAAATGGTCTCTGATAAAAGGATTCTAAAGCAGACATGACATCAACTGCCTGACATAGGAAGACCTTCTAGGCTACTGAGGGATCACTTACGTATTAAAGAGGCTCAAGTAATGATTACCACCCAAAGAGAGATCTACATTTAGGTAATCAATATCTAGGTTTGCCTGCATCAGACTGAGAAGACTGAGAACATATCTATGATCGCAGTCAAGAGTATTAACACTACTGCTAGAAATTACTAACTGTCCCCACCAGTAATTATTCACCTTCTTTTATTTTAGTAATACATTCCTGAACTTCAGCTGGCATAGGATCACATGATGAAAAACTGCATTTCTCAGCCTTCTTTGCAGCTGGATGTGACCATGTTCAAAGTTCTGACCAATGGGATAGAAATGGCAGTAAGGTGTTCAACCTCTAGGTTACTATAACCCTGAAGTGACTTAGCTTCCTATTTTTTTTTCTTTAATGCTGGTTGGAATGAGAATATGGTTGCCACATGTTGAATAATATAGAGAAAGTAGAAGGATCCTGGACTTGTGATACCATAATGCCAGCAAATGGTATCACAAAAGACTCCTACTCTTGCATTATTTGATGAGAGACAAAGTTCTGTGTTGCTCAACCCACTGTTATATTTAGATCTTTGATATTGCAGCTGAGCTTGTATCCTGATTAATACAATGCAAAGCCAGGACCACTTTCATTATTTAACTTTCCCCTGTGGCTGAAGAGAAAATTATATTCTTAGAATGAAATGTAGAATTCCACCTTTATATATCAAATCCTACAATAAGGACAAAAGAAAGGACATGAGATAAAAATTGTCATTGATACATACAATTCCTGAGCAAATGGATAAAATAGATATTTACATGAGAGAAAAATGTATCTCTACCCGTATCTGCCATAACAAAAATTAATTCCAGACAGATTGCAGATCTAAAAGTGAAAAATAAAACAAGACAGAGAAGACAACACAGGAGAACATCTCCATGGCCTAAGAGTAGGCAAAGATCTCACTGAGCCATTACTGATAGTTTGGAGACCTCTCCGAGAGGCCAGTTGCTCCCTTTCCCAGGAGTTAGTCCTCAGGTTTAGAAGTCAGGGCATTTGCTTCGTTGGAACACACAAAATTGTTTGGATCCACTAAGGCTAACATACCAAAGAATTTCCAAAAGGCTGGTACATAAACAGGCATGCCAGTGTACTCATCCCCAGTGAGAGGGTTTTATAGGTCAGACCTAGGGTAGGTATCCCTTTCACATTTTCAGGATACCCAGGAGCTAGATTAGAAACTAGAATGTTCACTCATGGGCACAAAATCAGATCACAGCAGAGAGAGAGCCTGAGGGATATTTCATCTAGGCCATGTGAAACCTGATTAAAAGAACACTCCTGCCCTATAACTGAATACCTTTCTCTGGTCGCCGGAAGTTTCCATTCATCAGATTCAGTATTTTTCCTAGTAGTGCTGGACAAACATGCCAGAATAATGACATGATATTGAGCATCCTCTTTTTGTTAACATACTGATCAAACGTGATGTTTAGAAAATCTAATTGATTTGGTCATTTTTCTCAATTATAATCATATTCTATCCCTGCTCCCTTGACTTACATTTTAAAAAATTGCTTATTAGAACATTGGGTCTTCCCCAAACATCTCAGTCTCACCTATGCAATTTCTTGGGTTGCTCCTATAGGCAGCCAATCTCTTCCTTGTATGTAGGCTTTTGCTAGTTCAACTTTTAGATAACACATCCTGTCCCTATCATCCTTGTCCAAGCTTTGAGGGTGAAACACAATGGCACAATTATTCTCAGAACTTTCCACCCAAGAACTCCATACCTAAATTTACTCATAAACTCTGGGTTTTCATCAAGAACAGCTTTCATGTAGAGAGATACATAGCTTCCATCAGAGAAATATGTCTTTAAACACATGTACTTATAACTTGCTGAGACACCTTTTTTTTTTTGAGTGCATTAACTGGGAAGTGTTTCTTACTTTCTGTGAACACAGCCACAGTGAAAGATCAGTGAAAATCAGTATCCCCAGTAACTGATGTTTGTAAACCTTGGGGTAAGCTAGCACTTACCAGTAATCGTGAAAAACAGACTATCTTAAGCAATTTGATCGTATTCTTTTTTAAAATTCTAGATGTTCTAGAGAAATTTAGTGGCCAGCCATTCAAGTCTCTGAAGTGTGGTTCCAAGTAAAGGGTATAAAATATCCCCCAAAATATATGTCTTTTTTGTTTTTAATTAACACTTACTTTTTTTTTTTCCTACCACAGCACCCGGAAATCTTCCAAATGACAAAAAGTGAAACAAGCAAATAGTTCATACAAACACCAAGAAACTGCTAGAAAATCTCCAGACAGTATCTAGACTGTTCCTGGTATATCAAAAAGTGAAGGGCAAAGGGCTGGGAGGCCAAAATGAGGCTGGACAAACAAGGATCCCATAGACCTAACAGGTACAAAAAAACATCCAGTGGCTGAACTTCACTTTCAAAGGCAACAAAAGGAGTTGGTAGTGCAGTAGATCTCAAGCCCATGAAATTACTTCATCTCTATAATTATTTGGGTCACAGAAATGCTAATGGCATGTATGCAGAGAAAGCCCTATGATTACAGTTTTACAAATAAATGACTTTAGCAGCAGCGGATAATGCCAGAGCCTATGACAGACCTTGCTTCTCAGTGCAGATGTGAGCATGTTGGTATGAATATCATCTTACAGTTTGGTGCTGAGGGAACAGATTCAATGAAGTGCAGCATAGAAACAGACTTTCGCGTGGGGACAATTATATCTAGCTGTAGAGGTTAAACAAGAGGGCTTTGTTCTATGGATGCCAAGAATTATATTTCTAAACTTGATTAGCACCAATTTGAGCTTTTGGTTGAAATTGGCCTTTTGAAAATGCGCTTTGGGAATGTTTCCCAGTGTTTTTAAAAAGGAAAAGAATAAAGCTAAGTAGAAAAGATATCTATCTGAGGTGATAGGAACTAACAAGCTCTTTGGCTGTCAGGCCTTGAATTCAAGTAAGAACCGTAAAAATGATTAAGCTCAAGAAACATTAAACCTCACTTATTAAAATAGGGTTCCTTGATTATTCATTCAGCATTATCAATCAAAGTTAAACCAATTTTGGATTTACATATAAAATGGTTCATTCTTCCCAGCATAGCTATATGTAAAATCTAATTGGCACACAAGCCTACGTTTGGAGTGTAAGGACCCTGGGAGTGTACATCCCCGTCTCCTCCCATTTCATGCCGCTCTCTGAGCATTAGGTACTGAAGCCTACTCTGGAGAGAAGTGTAGCTGCTATGGAAGCCAGGAGGTAGCCATGTCTCCTGAGCCCATTCACTCGACCATTCAACAAATATTATTTGAGCACCTACTATATGCTAAGCACTATTCTATGTGCTGGAATTACTTCAGTGAATAAAAGAGCTTATAATTTGGGGAGAGGAGAGACAGGATATTTAAAACATGGCTATAACACATAATTAAATCAATAGCTTGTTAGAAAGCATTGAGGGTTATTTTAGTCTCCTGCAGATAATGATAATGATGATGATATCAATCAGAGTTAATATTCATGCAGCACTTCCTATGTTCTAAATATTTTGTCTATCATTTAATGTCTATTCATTTAATTTTCATAGCAAACTCATGAGGCAGCTCTTCTTAATATCTGTACTTTACATATAAGGCCATTAAGGCCCAGAAAGATTAATTTTCCCAAGACCACACTACAGGCACGCGGTGGAGCTGGGATTGCCTACTGAATAAACTGCTCGACTGGCAAAACCAGTCCCATCTCTGAGAGTTGTGAAGGAAATGCTTTCCACTGTCTGAGGCACTTCACATGCAACACTAGCAAGAGCAGAGGTTAAATCTTTGTATTGCATTGACTGGGGAAGAAGAACTGAGAGGAATGTGTGGCATCAAGGAGAAGGAACAGTGGTTCCTTCTATAAAGAGGGAAAAACAGGCACTTTCTGATTTCCCAGCCGCACATCTGGGGATTATTCCTATTCCCCCTCTTACCCTGCAGGCATCCTGCTTTGGTTATTTCCGTCTTTATGGAGTCATCAACAGTGGTAGCAGAGATGAGGGAAGATGAAATGTGGAACTGATTAAATACATGACAAGGTCTCTACTAAATGATTTGGTTGGGGAAGAGGCTGTGACTGCAGCAGAGTGAGGATAAAGCCAAGCATTGGCTGCCAGGCTTCGAGATGGCTCATCCACCAATTCTCTAGAATTTCATTGTAGAACAGCTGCCATGTCAACAATGGTAATGTCCTTGAGGTGCATTTTAATTTTAATCAAGTTTGCCAAGTTTGTTTTTTCCTAGAATGTAATACACATTGTATGGGTATATTCTTTTTCAGGATTTTTCTAGGAGCAAATAAAAAGGGGGTGGGCAATGGGCAACTCCATATAGATATCTGGTCAGAGGGTCAGAGAAAGCTGTTAACTCTAAGTAAGCTGTACTTTGAATTAGGTACTTCCGTATAGTGGCTAGAGCACAGATAGAGATCGCTTTTGAAATACAAGATCTTCTTCCTGTGCACCTACCACCACAAAGTAGAAGTACTCAACTCCCACAGTTTGATGTCCTGAATGGAACCCGCTGAATGCTCATTTTCATTGTCCTGCAAGGCTGGATTAATTTGCTAGCTACAAAGCACTACTTCTATTGGACACTTACTATGTAGCAATTGTACTATGTAAACACTGTATATGCAATATCATTTTAACCTCCATAACAGTTCTGATCAGGAGGTATTGTTATGCCAGTTTTAGAGATGGCAAAACAGAGATTTAGAGAGAGAAAATATCCTGCCAGTCTTTCATGTTAATAAGACCAAGAGCCAAATGACATGGAAGCTTTCAAGCTCTAAAGCTCTTTGCTATTCTACTCTTAGAGTCTCCTTAGGGAGTCAAAATTTCAGACTGGGAGATGACATGGAAGGTGCTCTGGTTCAATTCTCTGTTTTAAACATAAGTTAAGAGACTTGTTTAAGGACACAGGATGTATAGAAACATATGGCCCAAAGCCAGAAACAAACTCACAAGTGCATGCCCCATATATGTACTGATTTTGTATTGAGGAAAGAGTCAAAGGTGAGTTCTGGAATTTTAATGGTTATTTTAAGGTAAATGTGGCAAGTTCATAAATTTAGGGACCAAGGAAAGAGGTATAATTAACAACTAAAAAAGGAAAAGGAATAGTCACCTGAAGTAGGTTTGCGTATAGGCTGACAAGAGGAAATCTGGGGGACAAAAAGAAAAGTGTGTGTGTGTGTGTGTGTGTGTGTGTGTGTGTGTGTGTGTGTACACATTTAGCTTAAAATGACAGTGAAGTGGCCAGAAAAAAGAAACCAAATGAAATAGCCAAGGGTTAGAGAAGAAAAAAATGACTGGGCCTCTGCTTGATCAGAAAGTAAGACCCTGGGTTCCTTATATGGGGAGATGGGATGGGTGGAAAAGGAATCACTCATTTTTTGTTTGATTTCCTTCATTTTGTGTAAAGCTAAAAATGCTGAGTGCCTAACTTTTGAAAGTTAGTCTATTGTTTCATTGCACTGAAAAAAATAGAACAAAATGAGTCATTTGGATTTCTACACATTCCCCACAGGAACCTAAATTACAAGTAATACGAAATCATCCCTTCAATGTTTACTGGAAGCCAAAAACTTCCCTTTAAAATTTGATGAAAGCTAAATATAAATGCTATGACCACAGCTTTGCCTTTGGTTCCTGGGGCTGACTTTCTGGGACTCCCGGGGGTAGCCAAGATAAGATGCTGAACTTTGCTGAAAGCAACTTTGCCTTTAGGCCTTTCTGCTTTCCATTTTAGTGGATTTTGCCTCCTTCTGAGGGCCTGCAATAGATACCCCATGCCTACACCGGCCCTATATGTTGGACTTACACATTTCTCTGCCTGACTTGTCCCTCTTAACCAAGGAGCCTACTAGCCTTCAGGCCTTTTCTCTGTCACTTCCCAAAATATCAGCCCTTGACCTCCGAACCATGCTCTCAACAATCTTACAAACTCTTTTACATTAAGTCTTGATCATCAGTGAGTTTAGCATTTCAATTTCTCAAAAGCATTTAATTCCCTATGTCATACCCCATTCCTTTTAAGTAGGAGACATAATACTTTACTCAGAATAAAACATCCCATCTAACATAAATGTTAGAATTCTGGACATTTTGGAAAGGTAGCATGCTTATAATTCTCTGATCTGGGTCTTATTTCACAAATCTGTACTTTTGCACAAGCTGTTTTTCTGCATAGAATGTCTTCTGGCTCTACTTTTCCTATCTAGTGAAATTCCTGCTCACTGCTCATAACCGTTCCAAACATGAACTTCACCCAGAAAACTTGCTCTGATTACTCTAGAACTGTGTCAACACAGGTGCTACTGACCATGGGATGCTCCTGAGCATCTGAAGTGTGACTAGTTCATTTAGTAATGCACTAAAATGCACATCAGATAGGTAAGAATTGTTTAAAAAAAATGACAAATCACAAGGTCAGGAGTTCAAGACCAGCCTGGCCAATATGGTAAAACCCCGTCTCTACTAAAAATATAAAAATTAGCTGGGCGTTGTGGTGGGCACCTGCAGTCCCAGCTACTTCGGAGGCTGAGGCAGGAGAATAGCTTGAACCCAGGAGGTGGAGGTTGCAGTGAGCCAAGATTGCACAACTGCACTCCAGCCTGGGTGATAGAGTAAGACTCCATCTAAAAAAAAAAAAAATTGTTATATTGATTGTATGTTGAAATGATACTATTTTGAATATAATGGGTTGAGGAAATATATTATTAAAATCAATTTCACCTTTCTTTTTACTTAAGTGGCTCCTAGAATGTTTTCCTTTTTAATTTTTTAAATTGAGATCAAATATACATATATAATTTACCACCTTTACAATTTTTAAATGTATAATTTAGTAGTAATAAATATATTTGTATTCTTTTTCTCCCTCTTCACTACTGTTCCCCTACTCATCCCAGGCCAAGAACATATAAAATTACCTATTTGGCTCCTGTTTGTGGCTTACATTAGATTTCTATTAGATTGCACTGTCCTAAAGTCTAGGCCAATGGTTCTGAACCTGTAAGGGGAGTGGGATAGAACGCTTAAATTGTTTGAATGTTTGTTAAGGTGCACATGGGGGTGAAATAATCTACGTTTCTGATAAATATCAATAATATACCAAGATAACCAATGAAGAGCAAATGCACTGAATCTTTGTTGTTCCATCAAGCACTATTCATCTTTTGTTAATTTTGCTGCAATCCCCATTTTCTCCCCACCCATCCTAAACCCTGGGGATGAAGGAGACACAGTGTGGCGGTGCAGGAGGAGTCTTTTGTTCAGTCGACTGATTCTTAGACTGATCAGATAAGGTAAAATATGATCCAGTTAATCATAAACAACTGTGGAGAAAAAAGAAAGAAGGATAAAGGATGCTAATATCAGCTGCCACATGCACTGCTAAGCATTTTAACAGAACCAGATTTTCCTGACCTGTGCTCAGTGGAACACAGGTTCTGAGAGATGTTCAAAAGTGTTGTGTTGGGAGTGGGGAGGAGAAAGGAGGTTCCATGGTGAAATCAGATTGGAAAATGCTGGCCTAAACAAAATTAGCCAGCTTTCTTTATTGTAGGACTTTACAGAAACTTTAATATGCCATTGTGATCACTCAAAGGGGAAAAATTGAATTGTTTCCCAGCTTATTTGATCATAAAATTCTTTTTTTGAGAAACAGCTATCAACATCACTGGTTGGTAAATTTGTCATGGACAGTGTCATTTAGCCTGTGCTTTACAGGGAGAACCCCATGGCTTAAGAAGTTAAGAGAACCTGCCCAAGATATCAGTGTTACACAACTCGTTAGTGGCTGAGCCAAAACTCCAAATTCACATTTACACCAGAGGAAAGAATTAACTGTGGTCAGAACAGGCAAATATCATCATGAAAAATTCTCAATACATATAGAAATGTTTGAAATGACTTACTTTTCCTGCTGTATCCCTAGATCACTGCCCCTCAGTTCATTTTTGCTTCCACTGTGTTCTCCCTGGATGAAAGAGATCTCCTCTTCTGAATTTTCTAGTACTCCTCCTGTGGGTCTTGGCACATGTTGCTTTATTGTTAACTTTTTAAATGTATGCTCTCCAGATTAGAGGCTTCCAGTGGTATTACTTGAATTCCCTGCCATGTGTCTTGCATGTAGCAGGAGCTCTATAGAACTTTCTCAGTTTATTAATTACCAGCCCTCCCAGCTTAGCTGTTGATGGCTTGTGGTGTCTTTTTACAGTATCTAAATGCTACAGAAGCATTGGCTCTTGGTTCAGAGACATCACAGGTTCACCTAGGCTGCCAACTTAGTATCAAATAGCCTGATGTTGAACACTGACATACCTGTAAAATGCAACTCATGATATCAGATGCGATTTTTGCATGAGGAGTATCTTCATCTTTCCCAAAGGGTCTCAGGTTATGTTCCAAGCAGGAGTCCCAGAGCCCCACGAGGGCCTTTGCATGCTTTTCAATGGACTCAGTCTCTCTGATGGCTGTTGTGATTCTCGTGATACAGATTTCAACTACTGCCTGGTCATTGTTATTGGTTTGGTAATCCTGTTTGGAAAGAAAATCTTCATGTTAAATAATACTCTAGAAAGTTATCCTTCAAAGGACAAAATACTAACTCAGTCATTTAGAAAATGGGTGCACCAGGCTGTGTGCTAAGGGGTGAGGGTGTAAAGCCTAATACAATAAAGGCTTTCTTCCTTGGAGATCCTAATCTTGTGGAAGAGGCAGATATGCAAACATGCTAAAATGGAGTAGGTTCTACTATCACCTAGACAGGGATCCCTGAGAGTCCATAGGAGCTTAACTATTCACTTGCAAGTAGGTTTAATCTTTGGACTATTTCAGTTTCTAAGTCCATTACAGGGCAGGGGTTACTTTTTACTCTGACATTTCAGCAACTTTTGTGAAATGTTTCAAATTACCCCTCTATTTTCCCTTATTAGTTTTCTCCCTCTCTCTGGACATAATGTAACACATCATTTCATCTCTCCCTTTTCACCTCAAAAAACTACAAAACCCATTTTAGCTTTCCCCAATCAGGTTTTCCTCCATTCCCGTTTAAATTCTCCTTCAAATACCTGACCATCTTTACTGACAAATAATGGGACCTCCAAAACATCTAAATGTGAAAAAGAGGCTCATTGCATTAATTTGGAAAATTGGTCTGACTGTGAGCTTCACATGGTGGACTCACAAAACTGAAAACATGATAGAGCAGCAAAGTATTTAGAGCCTGACATCATCATGTGAGATTAGAGACGGGAAGTGATGGGGTTTTTTGGCACTACTGCAAACTCCAGCTCTAACAATTTTTGTTGTTGTTGTTGCTATAACTAATGGGGCAGTAAACATCTTGTGTATGCAGCTCTCTCTGCATTGCAAATTATTTATATCCTAGAGCCTCCAGAAGTAAACATTTCCAAGACAAAGGACAGGAACATTTTAAAGACTCAAAATAATTACTGCTGAACTATGTTTCAGAAACGTTTTACAAACTTGAACTCCCTCCAGCTGGGTAATAGCATGATCTCCTCATTGCATACTTGCAAAAACAGAGTATTTATAATATTTCTAATTTCATTAGTGAAAAACAATATCTTATTGATGTTTTGCTTAGGAATTTTCTTGCCCAAAAGTGGAGTTGAATGGTTCTGTGTTTATTGGCTGTTTGTACTTCCTCCTTTAGGAACTACCCACTGTATCTTATGTATATTTTTCTTTTATTTTTTTTATTTATTTTTATTTTTTTATTTTTATTTTTTGGTCCTTCTTTGGTACAATATATTTTTCTATTAAGGATATTAAGTCAACATTTGACATTTGGCTGCAAATATGTCTCCATGTTTCATTATTTTTAGGATTTTTGTTTTGTTTTGTTTTGCTGCTATTCAATGACATCCTAAGATTTTAAGTAACTAAATTTGTCAATTTTGGTGGGCCTCATTGTTTTTCCTTTTCTAAACTGGAAACTTAAGTTGTTTACATTATTTTTTAAAGGTAATACATGAACACGGAACAAAAATTCAACAGATGCAAAGAAAGGTTTAAAGTGAAAAGTTAATCTCCCTCCCAGTCTTGTCCCTCATCCACAATCCCCTTCCTCAGTGGGAGACAGGCTCAGCAATTCCCTGTGTATTTTACAGAGGCATTCTAAGCACATGCAGATATCATTCACGCAGTCTCCTTTCTTTCTGTGTGATTACTGTAACAGATTTTTGTTTAATTTCAAGTTTTCCTTATTCAAAGTTTAACAAAACATCATCTCTATTTTTTTTCCAGATTAAAAAGAACTTCACAAAACACTCAACATTTATTACTTTAGAAATTCATCTTTAACCATTTGCTTAGCTATTAAATCTATCTAGTATTTATGGAAATAAGTAAAGACTTACATTTTCTTCTAAATAGCTAACCTAATCTTCCTACTACCATTTAGAGAATAATTCATTTTCTAGTAATTGTTTTAAATATATCAGAATCTATCTCAGGGCTGTCTTTTCTATCTGGGCCATTTCTCAATTTTTTTACAATACTAATTTTGCAACTTTCCCTATGTAAGCTTCAGATTTTTTACATTATTCTTTAAGTTCTGGGTACATGTGCAGATTGTGCAGGTTTGTTACACAGGTATACACATGCCATGGTGGTTTGCTGAATCCATCACCTGTCATCTACTTTAGGTATTTCTCCTAATGTTATCCGTCCCCACTCCCCCACCCATTTTATTTTAAGTTCAGGGGTATTTGCAAGTTTGTAATTTAGGTAAATTCATGTCATGGGAGTTTGCTGTACAGATTATTTTGTCACCCAAGTATTATGGCTAGTACCCATTAGTTATTTTTTTCTGATCCTCTCCTTTCTCTCACCATCTATCCTCTGATAGGCCCCAGTGTGTGTTGTTACCCTCTATGTGTCCATGTGTTCTTATCATTTAGCTCCCACTAATAAATGACAACATGCAGTATTTGTTTTTCTGTTCCTGCATTAATTTGCTAAGGATAATGGCCTCCAACTCTATCCAGGTTCCTCTGAAGAACATGATCTCGTTCTTTTTTATGGCTGCATAATATTCCATGCTGTATATATACCACATTTTCTTTATCCAGTGTACCATTGATGGGCATTTAGTTTGACACCATGTCTTTGTTATTGAGCTTCACAAATTTTTAACTGTGTTTCCTAGTATATTTTATGTCTTTTTGTTGTTGTTGTTAACAAAATACTTGTTTTTTTCCTCTCATTAGAACTTTTAATTAGCTTATTGCTGACTAAATGAACCTATTGCTTTTCTCTCTCTCTCTCTTTTTTTTTTTTTTTTTTTTTNTTTTTTAGATGGAGTCTCACTCTGTCACCAAGGCTGGAGTGTAGTGGTTAGATTTTAGCTCACTGCAACCTCTGCCTCCCGGGTTCAAGTGATTCTCCTGCCTTAGCCTCCTGAGTAGCTGGGACTACTGGTGTGTGCCACCACACCTGGCTAATTTTTTGCATTTTTAGTAGAGACGGGTTTTCTCCATGTTAGCCAGGATTGCCTAGATCCCCTCACCTCATGATCCCCTCGCCTCGGCCTCCCAAAAAGTGCTGAGATTAAGGTGAGAGCCACAACACCTTGCTTTTTGTATTTATTTTGTAACTAGCTATATAGCTCAACTATACTTAATTACAATAAATTTTCAATTCATTATCTTGGGTTTTCTAAGAAGATTTTTGTGTTTTACGCAGCCTTTCTGAGATCTATATGTTTTATGTATTCCATGGCTTATTATGTTGGCTAGAATATTCCATGTTATTTCACATTAAAGTGATTAGAACAAGAATGCTAGCTTAGTTCCTAGTTTTGGTTATTGATTTTTGGCATAAAATTTTATGGTCAAAAACAAAAAAAATACAGTAAATGTTTTAAATCATATAGAATGCATCACTTTCTATATTTAAAATTTATATATTTGATTTCATTTCTCTAGTAAGCATTATGCTGGTTTTTTGGGTGAGAGATTTTATACTATTATAATTTACAATATTAAAGAGGTGTCAATCTATTGTTATTTTATTGAGTTTATTTTTAAATAAAGAATAAAATGTGAATTTCATTAAATGCCTTTTTAAGCATCTATAGATATGTCAAATATTTTTGCCCTTAGATCTATCAATATGATAAATTACAGAAACAAATTTCCCAATACTAGTTAACTTTTCTTTCCTGGACCATGTCATACTGGATCTTGGGAAATGATTTTTTTAATGTGCTGCTAAATTTTGTTTTTAATATTTTATTTAAAATGTTTTGCATCAATATTTGGTCTTATGTTTGTCAGGTTTAATATCAATTTTATGCTAATTCCATAAAAAGATTTTGGAAGATTTAAGCTCTCTATAATCTTCCTTATTATTTGACCTTCATGTGGCCCAACAGAAGTGAATTAACATTTCCTGCAACTAATGTGTGTGTTTTTACTGGTATCTCCTGGAGGTTTTGTTTTATGAATTGCATTGCTATGTAATTTAATGTATAGATATTCTTAATCTTTATAACTCTTGTGAACTGAATCCATTAAAAACACAAAGTGCCTTTATTTTATTTAATGCTTTTTGGCATGAAATTTTTCTTATCTGACATAAAGATCATGATCCCTGTTTCTTTTGGTTTACCTTTTCCTCATATCATTTGCCTATTTTATTCTTATTTTTAAAATTTCTTTTACAAGCCTATATTGCATCAAATGATTGGTTGTTAACCCTTTTTATATAACTTTGTAGGAAACAATTTAGTAGCATTATTCAATGATTTTTAATAGTAACAAATATGCCTCGTATATAGGGCATACAGAAGTAAGTCCTTGATCACCATCTGAGCCCAAACCATCTTATCATAATCAACAATTTAAGCATGGTGGAGCTACATGTAGACTTCACAGGTCTTCATTTGAGAACAGAGGGCCCTGCCTTAGCAAATGAGTGGGCAAACTGCTTCTCACAATTTTAAGCAAAGAGGATAACTTTTGACTCAGCATTGATTTTCTGTATCAAAGGATCATTTCCTGTGCTTTATCTGCTAATTTGGCATGATGCATTAAAAAAAAAGAAATAGCCTATATATTAGGTTTGAATATGTGATATGATTTTGTGGTAAACAACAACATTATTTGCTTTAATTTCAATTATTCACATGTGTTTTATACTCAAGTAAATCATTGTCTAATTTTGCATCTTTTTATTTTAGATTTTCTAATTCTTAATTATAGTTTTCTTTCAGACAGGTTCTCTCTGCCACCCAGGCTGGATTGCAAGTGGTGCCATCATGGCTTACTGCAGCCTTGACCTCCCGGGCTCAAGCATTCCTCCTATCGCAGCCACCTAAATAGCTAGGATTACAGGTGCATGCCACAATGCCCAGCTAATTTTTTAAATATTTATTTTTATGAAATGGAGTCTTGCTATTTTTCCTTGGCTGGTCTTGAACTTTTAGGCTCAGGTGATCCTCCCCACCTTGGCTTCCCAAAGTGCTAGGATTATAAGTGTGAACCACCATGTCCAGCCCATTTTTATAT